CTGCCTCAGATACATGAAACACCAGAGACCCAGCCATCAGCTCTTCCAGAAGAGTATGAAGCAAGCACCTTGTAAGTTTGCCCATCAAACTCTTCGCTTCAGGTTCGTTTCTGGGGTATCAGGGGTTCAGTCGCCCACTTGTTCCTGTAAATACGACCCTGCCTACGCACAGTTGACTGCGATGCCCTCGCTTGAGTCATGGTGTTCGCGGAAGTTGGGAAGTGGACGTTTCTCTGACGTTCCTTAGCGAAGCCAGCAAGGTCTGGATAGTTTCAGACTACCTGCTTGGCACGCTATTCTGGTGAACCTGGCTATCACTGACTTCCAGATATGGTATCTCGATATTCTCATATGCAACCTCATTCACACAGACGGGATCTCTCAAACACGTCGCTGCTGCTCAGATGTTTGATCGGCATCTATTTTCGATTCTAACTTGGTCATGATCTAGATCCGAAGGTGAGTTTCGAGGCGAGGTGGTTGGTGTTTCCTCCCGAGTTGTCTAGCAACCCTAGTTGCAAACGAACCACGGCCACGGTGAGATACTGCACCATGAAGCATGCAGTAGTCCACTTCTACTATGACGCTTTGCAACGCCACTCTATCGTGATTCCGCCTGGACGCTCTGCCAAGAAAGGATTACCATCGAGCTTCTCGCAAAGCTCTTCTCGAGTTCAGCATGGATCCGAGTCTGGATCGCATGTCCCCATCAGGACCCTTTATTGTGAAACAACTCAACTACCAAAGCTTTCCTGAAGAAGAAGTCCGGCTGTGATAGCAGAAACTCCTTGGTGGCGTAGCCCACTGCTCTGCTTCCTTCCGACTGGTTATCTATGACATGACAGAATCATCAAAGGTTTTCCGTCTGTATTCCGTTCACAACTTGGGGACTCAAGTTGAGTGCCGAGAACTGTTAGCGTCCATTACTGAGAATAATATTCGTTCCATTAAGCAATGCGGGTCGCCGATATGGCCACAGCGTGCGCTTACTGAAGGTTAGCTTGGTAGGTTTTGTAGAAGTTCACTCACTCACTCAGGGTATCAGGAGACAATTCTCCTGGAGGCACAACAGACGAAATAATCTGGTTACTTTATGCTATCTTAGACTAGCACTTAGGCTAATTTAATTTGGTAGCCTAAGCCGTAGACAATTCTCCTGTTCCCCAGCTGTCGCTCTGCATCTCACTTGGCCGCCGATGTCAAGGCCAGAGTTTGTTGGCAATGGCGCTTAAGCTTGTGTATCTCAAGAAATCTCGGTGAATACAGAATTTGTTTCTATTTATAAGCTTAACCTCCACTTGAAACACCCCTTGGTTGTCTCTGGCAAGTTCTGGTTTGTCACTGTTGTTTATGGTTATCACGAAGAAAGCGCATGTTGAAACGAAAGTGTGCACTATCACGCCTACATTATCGGTCGTTATATAGGCCCAGCGGTGTAGAAAGCGAACTTTTGCTAAGATTAGAATGTCAAGTTCTATTCTAGGTATCTAGAGAAGGTCGAGGATTTCCATATCTTTTGTATAGGGTAGACCCGAGACAATCCAGTGGACTTCACTTCCTTAACTTGTGCCTCAATGTGATGAGCAATTTAGCATTTACAATTAATGTCGATCATGGGCTGAGAATGTCTCTGTTAGTTGCTGCTAGTGAATGATGTTTTACATCTGTTGGCATGACCGTCCAGCTAAACTACGAGTTGAAAGATGGAAACAGAAAACAGTTTGATCACTAAGTCAACTTTCACCCGGCATTCCGTACGCTCATCATGCATTCAAATAGACAAGACATACTGCAATGAGCTGTCAAAGCGCAATCTTTTAAATACCCTATCTATATACACATATTCGCTACAACTATCCACCCACGTCCCCATAGTTTCCAACGCACGGGAAGGGGTTGATGTTCACATTCCTAAAGTAGATTGTGTTCCTCTCTCTAGGATCTCGCCTCCTCAAGCTCAAGTTCAAGCTGTCGGATGCGCTCGCTCTGGTCCTGAGAACCGGAGCTGACCTTGCGCTTGAGCGCCTCAACCTCAGCAGTCAAGAGGCCGATCTGCTTGGTCTGACCTACAATGAGCTGCTTGAGCTCGGTGAATGAAGGGTCACCACCGCTAGGGGCGGAGGAAGAGGGAGAAGAAGCCGCTGCGGGGACCGAGAAGCCGGGAGTTGTAGGAGTCTTGGCTGGTGAAGCGGGCTTCGCAGCTGCGGGAGTGTAAGAAGAAGCTGTCTGCGATTGAGCAGGAGGCGTAAATTTGGCAGCAGGAGCAGCTTGGCGTTGAGCAGGTCGGGAAACCTCCTCGAAGCTTGAAGCATCATCGTCCTCTTCCTCTTCCTCCTGCTTGTCCTGGTATCGGGAGGCCATGGCAGAAATAGAGCCTTTCTGCTCGTTCATGGTGGGAGGGGGAGATCGGACAGCAGGAGCTGGCTTGGGCTCCTCTCTCTTAGGCTCCTCCTTAGGAGCAGGCTTCTCGGCGACAGGTGCGGGAGCAGCAGGAGCCTTGTAGTCGGAGGTGATCTCCTTGGGTGCGGTGCCGTCGTAAACGCTCTCAAGGTCAATCTTGTTAGGAATGGCAGTCTTGCCATCGAACCACTCCTGGGCGGTGGCAGCAGGCTTGGTTCCAACGGCAGGGGGGAAGATATCAGCCTGGAAGGTCTCGGCACGTCGTGGGACAGTGAACGAGATGGGCTCGATGTAAGCGTCGTTGACGGTCTTGTAAGCCCTCATGACCTCATTCTCGTGAGTCTGGATCTGTTAGTAAACGTGGCACACACTGTATTGTCGGGGAACCATACGTTGATGCCTCGTCGGGGCATGAAAGCAATACCGCGCTGAGGGTCAACGGACTTGTACTCGCTGAGGAACTCGAATTTGTCATTCTCGTACTCAAAGTAACGAATGTTGCCGTCACTGCGCTAGGTTAGCATTGTCTCAGTACGGATAGAAGCGAAACCTTACCCCTTGCCAGCAAGGTACAGGCAGTTTGAACCATCATCTATAAGGTATTAGTTTCAGCGCAATCTGAACGGTCGAATATATACATACCCCAGAAAGGCATGCAGACACCAGAGATAGAGTCGAGCATAGTGAATCCGCCAATGGGCTCTGTCCTGCCGGGCTCCCAAAGAGCTATTTGTCGTTCGCTCATTCGCGAGAAACCGGTTGTCGCAAAACGGTTGTGCTCTCCCAGCCAGACTGCGCGACTGTTCTTGGCACCGCCATGGCCAGGGCCCTCGTGGACGGGCTTCTCCTGTCGGACATCCCACACACGAATCTTCTTATCTCGCGAGGTGGTGGCGAGCATGCTGCCGCTGGCGTTCCATGTCAAACTCTGGACGATATCGTTGTGCTTGAGTGTAAGAGGCGACTGGCCGGTGTTGACATCCCAAAGCTTGATGGTGAAGTCGCCCGAGGCAGAGGCGAGAATGTTTTCGGCCGCGGGGTTGAAGAGAACCTGTCCAACCTTTCTTTTCGGGTGTTAGCACCTTTGAATCGCGGTTCGTACAATATGTAACCAACCTGGGGTGACCAGCAAGCTTGCTCACGGGCGCGACATCGGTAATCTCCTCGGCGTCGGTGTGCAACGTAAAGTCTTGGGGAACCTCCCAGATAAAGACCTTTCCATCGTCGGAGGCAGAGGCGATAATGTTGTCGTTGAAAGGGTTCCTTGATTGTTTGTCAGTACCCTCCTGACAGAGGAACGAGCTCAGGGGCCTAAGGAGGGGGATGCATACCAGTCAGTATCGAGTACAGCGGCAGTGTGACCGCGAAACAGCGGGATCTGGTCGGGAAGCTTTCCTCGCTCGTTCAGAGGAATGACAGCGAATGCGCCGCCACCAGAAGCATCCCAATTGACTGAGAGATACTCAGGGTTGACCTATTCAAACCCAACCACCCCCTAAATCAGCGCGCCGACTCTCTAGATTATGGACTGATTGCACCACGCGCCGCGATGCAGTACGACGCACCTTGATCAAGTTTGTATCCCAAGCATTGCGACTGATATGGAGGTTGTCGTAGCAGAATTCCTTTCTCGTCGACTTTCCAAAGACGTGGCCTGGCGAGTAACGTCAGCATATCGGGTTTGACTTCTGTCGACCTGCACTTGAGTTTGCGCCGGTAGGTACAGGTACGTACGGTACTTGGACGCCCGTACGAAACGGCCGGCCATGGTGACTGAGGTTAATTAGAAGTAGATTGTTAAAAGAGAGTGCAAATGAAGCGCGAAGGAGATGGTATAGTAACAAAGCGCTTGAGAATTGGACGTCAACTTGGCTACCAAGCCGGAGGTTGTATGTAGCTAGGTAAGGTAAGATGGGATGGGATCGGATGGCACTAATACGGGCTGATCCTATCCTGTCCAGTCACTTCGGGTAGCTCCAGGTATGAATGAGCCACTGTAAATTACGCTGCGCCTCATAAGCTCGCTCCCCTACATGCCCCGCTTACGGGCGTCTACAGGCATTGCTCGCATGAACAATGGATGTGGATGGATACGTGTTTGTTACTTTGTCACGTGCTCACCTCATCTCTGATCTTCACCATTGCTTCAGAGTTGATTAAAGTTCCATGCACAAGCGATATTAACGGGTTGAAGTTGGGTACTCGTTAGACTTAACATTAGCATATTTGACAATTCATTATAAAGCTGATGCTATAAACAGAGAACACCTTACGCACAGGCGCCAATTAACCCCCAAAACTCAAAGTAAACAAATATAAAAGAACCATTTCCATGCCGACGCCATGTAAGTGCACAAACGGCCAATGCTCCCAATTTCGTCAGCCAAGGGTACAATACCTCGCCCAACTCCAGTCATATTACAACATCAAACAACATAGTATCCCATCAACCATATAAACCAATACCAGAGGACTCGAGAACGGAGGCGTCTATCGTGAATATCCTGCTGGTCCTGAACGCCAGGTCCAGGTAGTCGTCATATGGCGCCCGGCGCCCAGCACCTTGTCTCATTTTCTTCTTCACCATGCGACATCGTATCTTAGAGGAACATGCTCTTAGGTCTTGAGTTCACTCGGCGACCCGATGCGCGTCGGCGCAGTTGCTCCTCTCGTCGAAGAACCAACTGACACCACTTGGCTTTTGAGCGCTGATTTGAAGATTCTTCTTCTGGGCTGTCACGTCCGACAACATCGGTAAGGACCTTCAACCAGCCTTCCTTATCTGCAGCAGTGTCTGCGTAGAAGTCGATAAGCTCACCGTTGTTGAATCGAATGCGGAATCCTTCTTCAACAAACATGTAGCCCTCTTCATCTTCCGCAAACGCTGAGCGACGACGTCGACCACCCCTGCCAGTAGTCTCCTTTTCTGTCAAGGCCCTACGGTCGTCGATCAAGCGCTTGGCGTTGGCTAGGTTGATGGTAGCTCGAGGCTGGCGAGTTGCCTCATGGTAAGCAGTGAGCTTGGTACCAACAAGCTTGAAATATCGGCGGCGCCAGTACTGGATCAAAGTTAGTTTCGGCTGAAATAATGCGTGGGTGGAAGTGAACTTACAGGGCAATCACCACCTTGTTGGCTCAGGTGTCCCTCCCAGTTGCGGGACATTCTTTCCTCGGCAGCCTTGAGCTCGCGAATGCACGAGTTCATACTCTTGGGCATGTCCTCGTCCGTGGCATTCTTGGGGCGAGGGACGAATAGAAGCTGAAGCTCCAGCTTGCCCACCTTGTAGGGAGCACGGCGGACAACATTTGTGTTACCACGTTTGCTCTTGACACTGGAAGCAAAGCCAGCCTCCTCGATTGCCCACTCGTTGAAGCAGGCAACTTCAGCAAGGTACGGACGACCGAAACATCGGCTCTCATGTTCTCGAAGGCAGACGTAAGCGCGACCGAAGCTACCGTCCTCAGCAGCCAGAGGAGAAAGAAGCTCATATGCTGTGGGAGGAGTGTTGCGCTGCTTAGCCTGGGCATCCTTCTGCAGCTGCACGGCTCGTTCCTCTTCTTCACGTTGGCGAAGTTCGAGTTCCTTGCGCTTCTTGGGGGACGCAAACACTCTGCTGAAGGTTGACGTCTTGTGCTTGTGAACCTTGACGGTAGGTGGTGGTGGCTTAATACGCTCAATGGGCTTCTCGAGCTTGACATTGAGTGTGAGCTGGAATTCGAGGTCGTTGGGCACGACAAGCTCAAATTCCTGACCGATAGGAGCGTTGCGTGCTAGCTCGAGCCAGGCTGTTGTCACGCAGTGAACACCATTGTCAAGGGTGAGACTGAACCAAGTACGCTCATCTGCTACCGTTAGATTCGTCCTTTCAATCTTTTCATGCCGGTACTTACTTCTTGGAAGAGGCAGGTCCAGGTCCTTGACACCCATGACCTTGACGAAAAGACGACCTCTCTCTCCGCTTTCCGGTGTAGCCATCTCGAGAGCCAAATCCTCATCGACAGGAGCCTGGCTGACAGCTGTTGCGTTACTCTCTTGACCAGGCAAGGGAGGAACGGGTCCAATGCTACCACCGGTACGCTTTCGGACACTTCGCTGGCGAGGTTTTCCATTCCATGGCTCGACGATGCATGACATCGGTCTATCCTCCTTGATAGGAGAGTTTCCGACGGATCTGGCAACTCGGAATTCTTCTGTATCCTTGTCACTGGCGGTGACAACCTTCGTGTTTTGTCGCATAAGATAACCGCGCTGGCGACGGAATGTTACGTTAGCATCAAGTTCTTCATGGTTGTGTTGTTGAGTTCTTGTTGTAGACACTTGTCTACTGGGGCTGGAATTGTATGTTGGAGGTTGGGTAAGGAAGGGGTCGTTGTAAGCCACCTTTTGTGCCTCAATGACTCGTTCAAAGTCTTGGTCGAGGCTGAGACCTAGATCGAGATCCAAAGTCAAGCTGCGGTTCTTGAAGCTAGGATGTCGGTTGATAAAATCATCGCCGGTAACTAGAAGTCCGCTGTTATCCTTGGAAAGTCGCTTGGTATGCTTGTCAGGAATTGGTGGCACGTCGGGAACCTCCATGCTGACATGTCGGCGGGCTTCCCTCATAGCAGTGATGTCAGAAGGTGTGTTAGAGAGACGGGTCTTGAGCTTTGAACCAGTCGCCTTGATTGTGGCGGTTCGCTCGGGGATGGCGGGCAGCTCAGGTTCCTCAATAGCAGGGACTGGGTGATGAATGACCGAGTCTGGCGTGCTTGGGCAATCGTCGTCGTACTCATCTTCAGGATCACCCCACCCAGTACCATCGTACTCAGGCTTGGAGAGAGGCTGCTCAGGAGTGAAAGGGCGCTGAAGGAAGGCATGGGCATCTGCCATCTTGGGAGGCTCAGGCAAAGGCTCCTTGTCTTCCTTGACAGGTTCCTCTGGTTCCTCGGGCTTCTCAGGCTCAGGAAGCATGTAAGACTCGAAGTCTCGGGAGAACGAGGCATCCTTGTCATGAGAAGCGAAATCAAGAAGCGAAGACATGCTCTGATTTTGCGTAGGAGTAGCAGTTGTTGGAGTAATCACCTCCTCTTGAATCTCCTCAGGCTCAGGCTCAGACTTTGAGACCTGCTCCTGGAATTTGGCTTCAATCTCCTCAGGCTTGATCTCCTGTGGCGTGGGCTCTTGCGAAGAGTAATGGCTCTCGCTGTCATCATCCACGGGAAGCTCCAGCCTGGATTCGTCCTCATCAAAATCGACATCGGAGTCCTCATAAAACTCAATCTCGCTGTCAGGCATTCTCCTGATGATAACGCTACCCTCCTCTTCCTCTGTCTCGTCATCCTCTGACAAGAGAGAGTCTTCGGTGGAAGGGATAGGAACGTCAGGATCATCAGGGATTTGCCTTTCGGGACTTCTACTGGGGCTTCGTGAGGCGGGAGGAGAAGTGAAGATGCAGTCCTTGTCCTGGTCGGCGGGCTTGTTGTTGCCATTGACCTTGCGCATGATGGAGTCACGCGAGATACGAGGAGGCAACTGGTAGTCTTCAAGAGCGGACATTTCGCCAACCATGTCATCTTGCTCCTCAAGAGCGTCGTTGAAGCTCATCATTGAGTCCTCGGGCTCCGAGAGGGGGCTGCTGAGTCGTCGACCATTACCCCTACGAAGGCGACGCTCACGCTGCTGCTCGGCCGCACTCTTGCCGTCATTGTCATCGGACAGCATCATGAGCCTTAGTCGTTCCTCGAGCGACATCTTGGCATTACCAATGCTTTGGATATCCAGCTTGCTCGCAGAGGAGGCGGCAGGGGGGGATGGTAGGTTCCTCTGGTTTCCAAGCATCCTCTCCGCGGTAGCCGACAGGCTTGGGGAAGCGGGAGAGGATGGTGCTGAGTTGTTACGGGAGTGACTCAAGAAGCCGGGGAGAGGTGGCAGAGGCCGGTGCTCACCGCTAGAAGCAGTGGAATCAGAGCGGACGTGCAGGGGACGGCCACCGTTCAATGAGGCCCGAGGTGTTTCGGGCATTGGGCTGCCATCAAACTCCCGCGGGGCAGTGCGGGTCGTCATCGGGCTGTCTCCTCTCCAGTCATCTGGACCGACGACGGGTGTTTTGTCTGTGTCCTCGAGCGATGCATCGAAGCTGTCGCCCTCAAGATCGACATGGCCAGGATCGTAAAGCACGTCACTGTCTTCTTCTTCATAGTCTAGCGACTCGCAGCTTCCCTCGCGAGAGTTGGTTCCGATAGATGAAAGGTCGGGAGTTGCCATTTCATACTCGTTGATCTGTGGAGGGGCAGCATCAAAAGTAACGCTCTTTGCATGGCGGCGACCCATAGGAAGATCTTCGTCCTCCTCGGGAGAACCAAAGGTCCAGGTACCCGTTTCCATATCAAAGCTGTTCTTGAACCGGGAGTGGGATAGGGACGACTTGGTAGGTGACACTTGATCTCGGCTGGGGGTGAGGGGACGGTTCGGTGAGCCTCCGGGTTGAGAGGCGGAAGATCTGGTTGGGCTGATGGTGGGAACTGTCATTGTGCTTTCAGTACGGGAGTGACCAAAGTTGGGGCGGTCAGTGGTCGATGAGCGGAATGACGCAGTCGATCCATGGAACGAGTTTGCTTGGACCTTAGCAAGCGGTCTTTCGATCTGAGGAAGTCGAGTAGGGTCATATTCCTGCTTTTGCTCGAGTGCTAGAATGTTGCTGTTCTTGACCCGGGAGGCCTTCTGGAGACGCTCGATGGAAGAGCGGCGGTGTGATGATGGTGATCCAGGACCGAAGATGTTTTCTGTGTTGCGGTTCTGCCAAAACAGACGTGGAGAGGTGACTTCTGAAGGTGAAGATTGGAAAGGCGAAGAATCGGGGTTTCCTGGAGATTTCTGCATGCTGTGTCAATACAAAACACCAAAATGATAGATGGCGGTTAGCGGTCATACCTTTGGAGAACCGTTCGATTGTCTATGCCAGCTGGGTGAGTTTCTTCTCATCTCTGTCGGTGAGAGCTCCGACAGCGGGCGAGGGATTCCGCTCGCCATTGTGGATGGAGGTTTGTTTGGAGTGGTGGTCTTGTTGATTCGCAAGGGATGTACCTGAACATCAGTCAGAGACATTTTGCCCGAGAAACAGGGCAAGTGGCGCGGGTCTACATACCGATTCAGTAGCCATGGGAGCTACAGTCGTGATAACTAATAAAGTCGCAAGTTTCGGGACGAGCGACTATCAACGCATTGGTATGCGAGTCAAGTATACACAATGAAAATGAATCAGAGGAATGTCAAATCAATATCGCGGTGAAGGCGAGACTGAGAATGAATGCAAGTAAGAAAATGAGACCCAAAGTGTAAGTGAAAAAGAATACACCTGAACAGCTCTATCAAAGGCTCGGCTCGACTCGACTCGACACTCAGCACAACTTCCACGATGATGCTGTAATGTTATGAAAGTCGCAGGTTGACTATGAGTTGTGACTATGGCGAGTTGATGTGTTTAAGGGAAGCACAGCAGGTCGAACGAGGAGTGAATATGATTGGACGAAGAGAAAACAAACATGGAAAGCGTTGCCTGGGAGACGCTGCCCAGTTGCGAGCTAAAGTCGGACGTTGGAGGCGCTAATTATCTTGCTACAATGCAGCAGGCTACCCCGCCCCTGCTGGAGCAGCGCCCCTCCAAGGACGTCCAAGGACGGTCGAGAACTACCTGCAGCGTCAAGCCAGCATCCCTTCACAGCGTTGCAGCAGTTCAGTCGCCATGGCAGCAACGCAGCCAGCCGCACAAAAAAAGCAAGTAATTGGTTGTTGAGATCTAGCATAATCCTTGAATATTTCTGAGACGCAATGTTTACTATGCGGGCTCTACTCAAAAGCCATATTGCTTATCGAGGCCGGGTGGCTTTTTCGAGTGGCTTTGAGCTTTGAGCTTTGTTGTTTTTCTTTCCCCAATCTGCTGCTATTCCCTACCCTAAGCTTATACCTCTGCTAATAATTATTATTCTCTCATGACGTTTTCCTCTCACTGTTTTTTCGCTTCCGTTTCACCCCTGGCAATGGAGAATGGGGAAAAGCTGGGCTGCCCAACATGGAAGTTAGGTACTAAGTTAGCATGTACTATAACTTATCGGTCCCGTTTGGCAGGCCGCCGACTGCAAGTCTACTGCACCTCAAAACTTGGAGATGCACCTCAGGATGGAGTTTTAGTTTAGTGACAGATCCTCAGTCACACTCACATGGGATTCTTATTTTCCTCGATGCAACTTTTCTTTTCCACTTGGAAGATCCCCCACCAAAAGTCAAAAATAAAATCAAAAAGTCTCCGCTAAGCTAAAGAGGACGGGATTCTCTTTGCCCATTTTGGATGTCTTGCATCTCGATCTTCCCGAGCGCCAGACGAGGCTATTCTGGCACTAAACCCGGCATTGTGTGGTCCTTTTGAAAGGTATATCCACCCTGGTTATCTCTAGACTCTGTGCTTTTTTTTCATGGATGTTTGTTTCTATGAACTTGCTAGGTTGTTAGGTTGTTTACAACTAAAACCTGGGTGCGGCTGCTCTTGTTTTCCCTCCCTCAGTCCCTCGCACTGACCCTGCTTCTTCCCCACGGGCCCATTGTATGCCTCTGAGCCTATTGCTTGGCATCCGATCATTACAATCCATCGTGATTTCGATCAATACCTGGTGGACCTGCATCGACTATGACGAAATCTCCGTTGTCTGGCCAAGCCTGTATAAACATCACCAGATCTATATCAGCTCGGTTAAATAGTTCAAGAAAGTGAGTTTTTTACTGCCGACTTTAGTTAGTAACATATTGTTAGCTCACCTAAAGCCATGAAAATTGTTGAATTGCTAATGCAATATTATTATGCTACTATTACCTCACCGAAAGCTATGGATGTAAACAACATGATTGTTGTTGTGTTTCACAACCTGCATGCGGCTGCACTGACACCAACACCTATAGATGCATTCAACTGGTTCATAAGCGATTCTATTTTCTTTGTCTAGTTGTTTTGCTTCTTGTTCCAAGCGACGCAATCGTCAAACTTGACACCCGAACCTCCAAAACAATCCAAGGCGCTTCCGATAGTCAGATCCACCTTGCCGTTGCTGAGCCTCTTTACATTTTCCAAGTCTTCAAGATGTCTACCACCCCCTGCATAAGTGACTGGGATAGAACACCATTGGGAAAGTCGTTCCACTAGCTTCTCATCGACTCCCTTCTGAAGACCCTCGTTGTCTGCGGCATGGATCAAGAACTCGGAACAGTAAGGCTCCAATATTTTGATAGATTCTGCACCTCGTGAGTCACATGCTTGCAGAAGTTTGTTTTCACTCACCTTGGTTGACTTCCATGTCCGTGATTGTCTGCCATTTGTTCATGGCCACAAACCAAGAGTCCTCTCCACGACGACGGCAACTGAGGTCAATGACAAGCTTGTTCTTATCACCACCAAGAGTTTCCAACACCGCATCGAGTCTTTCCTGACTAAATTTGCCCTCCGGAAATAGGTACGAGGTAATAATGACCTGTCGAATAGTTAGATCAACTGTCTGTGCGTGACGCTTCCGATGTAGTACCTTCTCGGCTCCCGCATCCATCCATTCTTTTGCGTTCTTATCGTTGATGCCGCCTCCGACTTGGAGACCCCCAGGCCATGCTTGCAGAGCCTCTTTAGCTGGTCCGTCGTTGCCGGGTCCTAGCATAATAACATGGGCACCATGAAGCTCATTGTCCCGGTAGAGCTGAGCGAAGTGAGCAGGGGGGTGTTGAGAGACATAGTTTGTTTGCAGAGCGGCAGAAGTACTGTCAAGGGTACCTCCGACGATCTGCTTAACCTGGCCAGCGTGGAGGTCAATGCAGGGTCGAAATCTTGTCATATTGAAAGGATGATGTTTGCTTTGTTGAATCAAAGAAAGATTGAACTACATGGTACGTAGATAACGTAGTCAATGTCCCACAATGACAGAAAATCGCACAAAGGTGGGGTAGCTTGGAGCTCTGAGCTCTGGACAAAGGGTTCAAAGTCAATTCAAATTCAAACCTATTAGTTGAAACATGAAATACAAGGTGATCGTTTCAGCCAATGGTGTAAAAAACTGTCTCATAAATCGTGTATCAAGTTGCAAGCCGATAAACCGTCTTTCCAACCTCCTTTGAGTTCTCCGCAATGGATGCCATTGAAACAGACTATAGCTCACTTACAGTCCAATGCAAGGAATTGCTACTTCAGTTAAGTCATTGTATAAAGCAATTAAACGACCGTAAAGAGATCTCTTTTTTGCTACTGAGTCTGCTTAAGCGATCAAACTTGATATACTGAAAGTGAACTTAGGTGGGTTCCTAGAGGATGTTGATGAAACTCGTGATGAAATCCATACTCAAGCTCACTCGTCGGTGCACGTCAATCCAATACATGCCCGACCAATCATTATATGAATGATATTCATCAATTGATCATCCGGATGTAACTGTTTATGCTTTTCTCAGAGTCTATGACGGTCTTTCCTGCACATTGGGTAGAGCGAGTCGGAATCTGGTAGCTGATTGAAAGACATACGCCAGATCAACGTCATTCAACAACTACCATAAATTATTCCGACTACCACAAAAAAACACCAATTCAACTAGATAACAGATATTTCACTCTCATACCAAAAAGAAAACATGTCTGATAAAGGATCCATCAATCTGGCATTGTCCAAGAGACAACCGCTGCTCAAAGACAAACCTGCTGCTGGCGACGACCAGTCCCTCCTCCCAAAGGCAACCAAGACTCACCCCAAGGGTAGCAAAGGCGATGAAAATGCGAATGTCTATTTCATCGGAACGGCGACCACCATAATCGAATGGCAAGGCTTTCGTCTTCTCACAGATCCAAACTTCCTTCATGCTGGCGATCACGTTCATCTTGGTCCTGGTGTGACTGCCCAAAGACAGACCAACCCGGCGGTTGATCTACATGAACTGCCTTCGCTGGACGGGATCCTTCTCTCACATTATCATGAGGATCATTTTGATCGACTGGTAGAGGATTCTCTCAATAGAGACTTCCTGATTGTCACCACTCCGCATGCCCATCAATGCTTGACTTCAAAAGACCCCCCCTTCACCAACGTCAAGGCACTCGACTTTTTCGATCACTTAAAGCTGAAGTCCGATGATGCAGAAGCTGGAAAGCAAGCTCTAGTGATCAATGTCACTGGTATGCCAGGCAAACACGTTCCTCCTGGTCCCTTAGCAGTAGTGAACGACCTCCTCGGTGCAGTTCCACCTACCAATGGCTGGATGATCGAGCTTGGTTATCACAACGATGGAGACGGCAAAGTGCAAACCGGTTACCGTATCTACATCTCAGGAGATACTCTTCTTGTGGATGAGCTGAAAGACATTCCAAAGTGGCTCCAAAATGAACGTATCGACTTGATGCTGATACATCTGGGAGGAACTACCATTCCTGGGCCGTCAGCACCCCTGATCATGGTAACCATGGATGCGAAACAAGGAGTTGAGATGATCAAGATGATGGATCCAGATGTCACCATCCCTATTCATTACGATGATTACGACGTATTCATGTCACCACGAAAGGATTTTGAGAAGGCTGTGAAAGAGGCAGGGTTAGAGGACAGAGTTGTGCTCCTGGATAGAGGGGACAGATATCAGTTTGCTGTCAGGAAGGATTAATCACGGTACCTTGATGTTACTTGAATAAACGAGTTCAAGGTCAACTATTCAGTTATAATCAACCTGTGTTACTATATGTTCATTGTCGTTAGAGTTCAGTGGCTGATGCAACTTGCACGCCTGATCTACTGAGATTTGACCTACTGGAGGTCGCAATTGATGATACTTTGAAGAGAAAACTTATCTTAGCCTTGCTGTTTAGAGATACCCTTGTTGTTCACCCAACCTGCAGTATATCATATGAGATTCATTCAATATTGGCAGCATGGGCCTCTCAAATATTGACCAGCAGGCTTGATAATGGTTTGCCATCCTTCAAAAACGAGACCTCTTCTCCCAGTGGCTATTAAAGGTGGCAGCCGAGAATGAGACACGGTCCCCATCCTCTTCTTTTCCTTTACCCCGGTAGTTGTTAAAGGTTACCCCGGATAATGAGTCTTCCCCTTCCTCTTTTCCTTTTGCCCTCTCCCGGTAGTTGTTAAGTGCAGCTCCTGAAGACGACACATCTTCTTTTTCTTCTCTTTCCTTACCCTGGTAGTTGTTGAATGTGGCGCCGGAGAACGAGATTTCTAGGTGGGTGACAGAAGGGATGTCCTCTTAGGCTTACGCTTCAATAAAGTAGCCTAAGTGCTAGTTTAAGTTAGTATAAAGTAACCTAAGTATTTCGTCTCTTATGCCTACGGTGGCCAAATTCTCCTTCATCTTCGGCGCAACCTTCAATAACTATCGGGCAAGGAAGAAGAAGAAGAGAAAGGGGGGAATACTTACACTTTTCTGTAGCGAACCACGCTTTAAATCGAAAGCAATACAGCCCAGCGACTTGCGAGCATGTATAGTGCGTAGAACGAAACAAAGGAATGATGCACAATACCATATCTGGTGGCTTTCACTTACTATCGGCGTTTCTGCCATCCCTGAAGTTTGTTAGTTTCATACACTGAGTTATTACTTGTAGGAGTTAAGAAACTGCGTACTACATAATCATTGTGCAACAACAAGTGAGCAATGGTTTCAACACATAGTTGCGGCGAGTTCAAAACCACATAGAGATGGCTTAGAGGCTGGCTAGCACATTCGGTGGGGACCAGTGAAAGCTCGCGTCAGAAGAAGTAACTGAGCTAATCGATGCTCTTGCGTGTTGTGTTTATGCGGTTACCTTTGAATTGATATCTAAAATGGCTTGACATTGCAAGTAAAAGGAGCCCAGGTTAAAGAAGCGACTGCACTACTTGCGAGAATGGGTTGTAAGTGTAACCCGTCCTGATGAGGTGCCTGGCACTGTAACCTGCCAGGACAACAGCACCGCAGAGTCGATCGACCACACGGTATCCTGCGACAAAACAATTCGCCCGTGGCAGGGGAGAACCACACGAACACCATCTAGCCGTTACTAGCATACGTGAGTGTAGGCGAGCAGACATACTGCACAGGATACCTACCGCATCTCAAGTTCGGATCGTGAACCCTGCAAAAAGGAGGAGAGAGGTCCAACCGGGGTTCGAACCCAGGACCTATTGCGTGTGAAGCAAGCGTCATACCACTAGACCATTGGACCGATCTCTAATTGTTGAAAGGGGCTGCAAAAAAATACCTCATGAGCTGCTGGTTGTCGATCCTGATCCTTGGTGTTTTGATGGGTACGTACCGGGATTCGATGTGAAGGTCCACTTAAAGCACGTTGCAGTGGGGCATCCGTTCCCCTCTCATTGGACAAGACTAACCTTAACGGGTATTTCTAAGTTCCCGCAAACGGACCACGACACTTTTGAAAGGGAAGGAAGCTGTTCGAGTAATTATTACTGTTGACTGATATTGTTGGTGATCCCCGATTACCACTTGTCACAGTGTGCCAGGGAAGAGCTTGGAGGCAGGATACTGTCAGCGGCATGAAAAGGTGCAATTGACCTGCTGTCAATTGTCAGAGGTGGAATTCTTGGATTTGTTGAAGACTAACTACTGCGAAA